ACAAACGGGCCCGCAGGTTTGTGTCAGAAGCCCCCAGCCACACAGCCTCTGGGGGAGCTGTAAGCGGTGCCACGTTTCTCCTCTGCAGCTGCATGGGGAGGCAGCCATGAGATGAAACCCTCCTGCGGACATGCTGGGAGAGAAAACCATCCTGTGGATAGGGTAGAAGACTCCCTAGATCCTGGAGTCTGAGGTTGGGAATCCCAAAAGAACACACCCAGGAGATCAGGCTTTCTCTCACCACCATCCAAGGAAAACATCTGCCCAAGGCTGATTTTGAAGGGACTGCTTTTAGTCTACCAGCCATCAGGACAGCTGGGTTTCGGATTTTCCCATATCTAAAGTCCTGCTGGGGGCTGGGCACAACATGGCTGAGAATGGTGGCCAGGGAAATCCCTTGGCTATGAAGAGGCAGCCCAGGCCTTGCCCAGATCTACAGAGGCTAAGCCCCTCAGGCTCTGCATAGAGACTCACCCAGTAGACCAAGCACTGGCCAGTCCCTGTCCCCTGTCCTGTTTCAGGGACTGGCTGCTGTGCTGCAGCCAAGCTGCACGCTCATCGCCTGGCCTGCAGGCCCAGAGCTCCCCAGCACTCATCTGCCTTGTATTTTCCAACAAAGAGACCTGCGGGAGGGAGGAAGGAGGGAGGAAGGAGAGAGGGAGGGTTACAGGGGAGGCAGGCCGAGTGGGCGGATGATTCAACACCATCCCCAGTGACACGGGGCCAAGATGGGGAGGAGGGGACGAGGCTCTGGCTGCTGCAGAAGCCCGGCTGGGGTGTGCAGAGGGGGCTGCCAGGGCTGACACAAGCAGCACATCTGCTCCCATGCAGCTGGGGGGAGGGGAAGGGGCAGTCCCAGAAGCAGAGAAGGAAAGCAGAGGGAACGTGGCTCCAGCCCTATCTTTCCACCAGCTTCCCCAGAAGAGTCGGCAGACCCTGTCCCCATGGCCTCGGAAGATGTCACACTCCCGGCTTCCCTCCCAGCGGGAACAGCCCGCAGCCTGGAACAGGGAAG